TGCACGGATCAGCGGATGCACACGGATGATACACCAATGGGTGGGTAGGTGGATGGGTGGACGGATCAATGAATGAAGAGAGAGATCCACTGATGGATGAACGGGGTGAACTGACGCCCGCGGGCCCCTAGGGGTTCTGGGTAAGGTCTCAGCCTGGCAATGGGGTAAGACACAGGGCAGGGGATCGAGGGTGGGATAGTCAGGTGTGAGGCTTGACACCCCTTGCCCACAGCAAAGTGACAAGGACCTGTAGAGCTTCTGGCCTCACCCCCAGCGTGACCTGGATCCGCGGCCGTCCTGTCTTCCCGCTGGTCCTCACCCCTCCCGCCGCCCCCTCCAAGTCTGGGACGCCTGCTCACCCCCACTCCCTCTCTCCACTTGGTCCAGGCCCAAGTGGGTGTTTGTAACCAGCGCGGACATATTAATCAAGTCTCATCGACTGACCGGGACCTTGGAACCTCCAACCCCAGCTCGCTGACCCGCAGACCCCCAGGAGCCCCTCTGGGCGGACCTACAGAGACTTCTCGAATCGACTCCTCCTTATTCGGGAAGCAGCAGCTTCCTCCCACCCGAGTCTAGCTTTTATCCCGCTTGTTGCAGTGTGGCCCTTTGAGGGGTCCTGAGTAGGGGTGACGGGGGAGTTAGGGTCGCGCAGGAACCTCCCCCGACGGCTGGTTCCGGGCGCGGGCTCTGGGCGCCCCCTGGCGGCCACGGTCTCCCCCGCATCTCCACTCGCTTCCCCTTGAACTTGGAGACGCTGCATTTGGACGGTGCCTGCCAGTCACTCAGAGAGAGGAGGACGTTAACGTTCACGCAGGACCACGGGCGGCGCCACGAGACCGCTCCCGGCACGGTCACCAGCGGCGTCCCCCCTGCCCTGGATCCCCGGGGCAGTTCTCAGCTATCGGGCCCCGGACGCCAGCCGGCCCCCCTCCCTCCCTCCTGGGGGTACTTCCAGCCTCGCGGGGTGGGGGTGGTGGCGGGCGATCCTCCGTCCTGGCCGCTTCGGCTGAGTCTCCTTTGCTGGACCCCCCCCCCCCCAATTTCCTCTCCTCTTTCCCTCCCTCAACCGTCCCTCTCCCTTCCCTCTCTCCTCCCTGGTTCATCTACACTCAACTCCTAGAACCCACTGCCCCTGCTTCAAAGGCCACCCGTACCCACAAGCTGAACAGCCCCCTGCGCTCCAACCCGAGTCCAGCCACTTCTGCCTCCTCGCCGTTTACAAGCCTGATAGGAGGCTCAGGCTTAATGGGGCCAAAGTCCAATTTCTCTGCCTCCCCCCCCCCCCAAAACCCAGTGTCTTCAGGTGTCCCAGACTCCGACTCTGGTCTTTTATCTCCCATCTCCTCCATTCATTCATTCATTCCGTTCTCATTCATACTGTCTCCTTCTCCATCAGCCAGGGAGGTGACAGAGTTTTACTTTCTGGAATGTGCGTTCCCCAAACCATCCGTGCCCCATCTCAGTGCAGGGCACCTCCATCCATCCAAATGTTCTGCCTGGAATAAACTTGGTGTTATCCTTGATCTCCCTCTGGCCTTTGCACCAACACCACCCTCTCACCCAATCTGCATTCCACCTTCAAAACCCATCAAGATTCTGGCAACTTCCACCGATTCCACACCGGTCCAGCAGCAGCATCTCCCACCTGGACTACAGTAGTTGCTTTCTCACTGGGTTCCCTGCTTCATCTCTGGCCCCCTACAATCTGTTCCCCACCCACAGTCGGAGGGACTCTCTCCTCACATGGTCCCTACGGCCCGGCATGATCTGGTCCCCACGGCCCGGCATGATCTGGTCCCCGGGGTCATCAGGGGCCCCACCTTCCACACTCTCTCCTCGGTTCACTTGCTTGCAGGCAGCCGGGTCTCCCTTGCCCTTCGTGAAGTTCCCAACCCCAGGGCCTTTGCACTGGCTGTTCTGGCCACCTGGGAAGTTTCCCTGTGATACCCACATGGCTGCCCTCCCCCCCCCCCCCCATTTTATTCCAGTCTCTGCTCAAATGTCAGCTACCAGGAGAGGACTCAGTATTTTGGCTTAGTTCTTAGGTGGCTGAATGGGGCTGGGGACAAACCAAAGGGTTGTTTCAAAGGGACAGTGGACAGGACTTGGGTTGGAATCTCAAATCTGAGCAAGTCTGGGCAAATCATTCCCCTTCCCTGTGCATTAGATTCCTCAGCTGTAAAAAAAGGAGGTCACAATATCCAGACACAAGGACTTGGGACAGAGACAACTTTGTACAGATGAAACAAGTATTAATTTTTTAAATGGCATTATTGCTATTAAAGGAAAGGGAGGAATCCATGTTGCCAGGTTTCTGGCTTGGGGGCCTCATGTGAGTATTGTTCTAGAGTTTGGGTCACGGGGCTTTCGATCATCACTCAACATTACTTCCACTCCACCCCCCAGACCCCACGAACATGTAGAAAAGGTAAGGCACAGAGGTGTGGAGTCATCCTCAGCTGTCTTGTCTGTCTGTCTGTGCTCCTGCCTCATTCATGGAAGCCTGGGCTCTCCAAGGGGAATGGAGAAAATCCTGGTTGGACCCAGGACTCTCAGGACGTCTGTGTGGCCTCGGGTAAACCTCTTGCACTCTCTGGGCCATCGTCTCGTTAGTTGGCAAATGAACACAGGAAAAAATGTCAACTTTTCACAGTGGTTTACGCTCACGCAGACCTTAGAAAGCTCTTAGGATTTTAAAAACGATTTTCCTGAGTCTGAGAGCAATGCATGGTTGTGTGGGGGCAGGGATCAGAGCCTAAATAGAAGCCACGGCAGGGGTTTTAACCAGGAAGGGGGTTACCACGGGGATGGGGGGCTGACGACAGCCCGGGAGGCTGGAGCGGCAGGCTCCGGGCCGGGCCCTCAGGAGCGACCCCCAGGACGACAGCACAGAACCCTCGGAGGCCAACGCCGGGACCGCTGGGTGCAAGAACGCCCGGCCCCGGCCGGGACCCTGGGGTGTCTTCTGCACCCCCCGCCCCCCCCCCCCCGTCTCTGGAGGGGTCCGCCTGCCGGAACCTGCTCCGCGGCCAGAGTCCGGCTGCGGGGGGCGCCGCCTCCAGCCTCCGCCGCCAGAGGTGAGGGGGTCCCCCTGCCCTGAGCAACACGGGCGGAAACGGAGAAGGTGCAGAAACGCGATGGAAGGAGAAGAATCCACCGCGATCCGCCTTCCCGGGCGCAGCCCCCAGCGCCTTTCTCTGCGCATGCGTCTCCCGACTCGCACGCACTGGTCAAGGTCGTGTGGCGCCCTTGGCCGGTGGAGCAGTTCCCGGAGACAGATCCCAAGTGTTTCCCCAGCTCGCTACACATTCGTCCGAAAGCGGACTCTTTACAAATGGCGGTGAAACGGCCCAAGTGGAGACACCCCACTTGTAAATGCCCGCGTCCTGCTCTTGCGTCTTTGGGCTGCTTCGGTCTCTCTTAATTTTCCAAACAGCGCGACAGCGGACGCCTTTGGGTGCACGGAGGGGTCTCCGCTTCTGAATTGCCGTTTTTGAAAAGACTTTCTCCATGATGGGAAATTCGGAGAAGCTGGAAATAGTAAGAAGGGAAAAGAATCCCCCGGAATTCCCCGCACCCGAGAGGCTCTGGGCGCCCGTGTGTTTGATGAGCGCCGCACGGACGGCGGCGGGTCCTGTTTGCTTCCGTCCACAAGGCATCTGCACATAAACACGGCCCGGTTACTACCCGCGCGCCTGTCCCCTCGGTTAGTGGCCGGGCCTGCCCGGGGCCACGACCGCTTCCTTCCATTCTGGTCTGGTCCCCCCGCCTCTGCACGATGCCTCTCCCCAAACTTCCGGCCGTTTCCTTAGGGCACGTTCCCAAGAGTGCAATTAGTCGGGCAAAAGGTAAGAGCATTTGTGAGGAGTGTTTGGCATGGACTCCAAGTTTCCACTTAAAATTTTTCTTTTGTTTTTTTTTTTTCCTGACATTGTTGTAAGAGCAAACACTCACGGGGCGCTTACTCTGTGCTGAGAACTTTCCCCGGGCAGACTCAGTCCTTGTCATAAGGCACCATGAGGTATCACTATGTCCATTTTGCAGATGGGGACTCTGAGGCACAGAGAGGTTGAGTCACCTTCACAAGGTCACACGGCTAGTGTCACACAGCCCCCTTTGAAGCCAGGAAGCCGGCTCCCACATCCAAGCTCTTGATGGTTCTTCCATTTTTTGGTGTCGGATGGTCAGAGGCAGACCCAGATTTTGTGGTACCTGGAGCTTTTACCATTTGGGGGACCCCCTTCAGGGAAAATAATGTTGCAGACTGAAAAGGAGGTGCAGGGCCTTGGAAGGAACCCGTGAAATCAATGGCCCTGACACTGGAGCTCCAGCAGCAGCACGCTGGGGCACCCCCCACTCCCCCCAGAACTATGCGTTTTCAAACAGTCGAGTTTTCTATGCGCCGCCCCCCCCCCCACCCCGTTCTGCCATTCACATGTCGCTGTATTTGTTTTATGAGGCATCCAGGCCTCTGTCCACTTAACTCACCCTATTGTCCTTTGCATTTCAAAGGAAGTTGCAGACATCAGCAAAGCGTTAGGAGCTCAGGAGCTCAGCATTTTCTCCTCTTTGGATGTAAACTTCAGATGCGAAGTGTAATTTACGTGCGGAAAACCGCCCCGATGTGTCTTTGCCACAGACCCGTGTTCCGCACGCAGGGGGACGGACGCACTTCCCTAGGCGAGGACACGGCGCGAGCTTCCGGAGGGCTCCGCCTCATGCCCAGGCTGCGGGGCGGCCCTGGAATGGCTGTGAGCAGCCCACCACTGGGTACCCTCGTATTTGACGCATGCGCTGATGGCCGGCTCCGGGCGTTAAGAGTTTCCTCCCCAGGATGGGTTTTCGGGATTTGGGGGTCAGAGGCTGAGGCTTCAGGCTCCTTCTGCACAGCATGGCTCTCATTCTCACCTCAGCTGACCATACCCCGGCCCCGCCTCACCCATACGCACAAAGAGCCATTCTCCTGTCTGCACAACACTCCTTTTTACTTTCATGGGGGGGGGGGGGGCAAGAGCAGGAACAGTTCCTTAAAGCCCTGATATTTTATGGGATGTGGGAGGAAGTGGGGTGGAGGGGCCCTGACATCAGTCTCTCCCTCCATCCACTTCTTTTATAAACTGCTTGCTCTATTTTTATAAACACCGTGTCCTGGAGCAACCTTTGCAAAGGCCACGATAAGAAAGAAGGCCAGGCTAACAGAACACGACCAACACGGTCTTCTTCCGTCTGCCAGAGAACACCGGACACAAAGTAAGAAGGCAACAGCCCGGGAGAGACGTTTGGAACGTGCAGCACAGACTTCAGGAGCCGTCAGCCGATCAAGAGCCGCTCCACGCCAACAAAAGGACGGTCCAGGAGGACAAGGGCGAGGTTTGGAGTAGCTCAGACGCGCCAGGGACGCGCCGCACGCGTACGCTCAGCCTCACTGACGACCAGAGAGCACAACGAGAACCGAGATCACACGGTAGGAAAGCTAGGAGCCCACAAGCGGGCTCCGGTGTCGCCAGAGGGCAAAACCCAGCACATCCTACCCGGAGGAGGATTTGACCGAACCTATCAAATGGCCCTTTACATATATTTTCTCGTACAGCCCAGAGATTCACCTCCAGGTCCTTGTCCTACAGATCCTTGTGGAATGGCCCACGTACGATGTTCCCGCCACGTCATGAGACGGAGCCACGGAAGCCGGTCACGGCGTGGCACACTCACTCACTGCAATTCGGTGTATGCGGCCGTAAGAAAGTAAGAGAAGCACCCTGTACAGACACAGAAAGTTCTCTAAGACACACTAAAAAGCAATCTACAGAACTACGTGTAGTAGGAGTGTATCCAAGACATAGAAAAATTAAAACTATTCTACTTTCTTATGTACTTTTGTGTATAATAGGATCACACATGGAACATACCAGAATCATTCACACTGAACTGCAGTGACAGTTACTTTTGCAGAGAAGGGAATGGGTTTGACTGGAAAACAAAGGTTCAGGGCAGTAATTATGGTGCTTTGGTATCTTTATGTAAATCAGTGATTTACAATGAGAATATAGTCCTTTGTTACTTGTAGAAAAAAGGTCTTTAATAAATCCTTCTTAAACTGGTATGGGGAGGAGGGATTAGTTCTTTCTGATGCGCTTCAGGCCCCTCACCTTTATGACCCCCTCTTGGGAGGGAATCCACCTGCGTAAAAGTACAGTAGGTGCTCGGCCAACGTCAGCAACACCCGTGTGACAGGGCTGTAGCCAAGACCTGCCTCTCAGTCACCCAGGTAGAAAGATGTGGGCTGTGTCCCGTCAGACACCCAGCTGGGATCTCCACTCCTCCTCCCCCCAGCCCCCCACCAGCCTGCAAGCCCCATCTCCTCTGCCTACTTTCCCTAAGATCTTGCCACACCAGGCTTTAGTGGAGACGAATGTTCTGGTGCTAGAGAGGGACACAGAGAGAGAGGGAAGCTGCCCCCAGAAGGGACACAAGTCACACGGGAGCCCAGGATGTCAGTCAGCGGTATTTTATTGTGGGGTGGGGGCTCCAGCATCCCGCAGCAGCTACAACCTGGGGGCAGAGGAGAGGGGACTGAGGGTGCGTGAGGGGAGGAAGGGCCCCACGGCCTCACCCCCTCGACATCCCCCAACTCTGGTTCGGGCCCTTCCATTTCCCTTTGGGGACCCTCCCCCGCCCTGACTCTGGGTTCAAGGGCATCCAGCAGGCTGCCCCTCCTGGGTGTGGCCAGGGGATCCCACCAGGAAGGAGGGAGGGACAAGGGCTCCTTCTTCTCAAGCAGCTTGGAGGGGTTCTGTCACAGCCAGGAGCCCAGTCGGCCTGGCAGGGAAGGGGAGTGCCACTCACTGGATCTCGCGGAACGCCCGCTTCTCCACCAGCTTCACTTTGTACTTGCGCTTGAACCTGTAGGAGGAAAGGGAGCGGTCAGGGGCCAGCAAGCCCACCAAGCACAGGCACGAAGCTTCCCGAAGCCCTCACTCCCCATGCAGCCCCGGGGACCCTCACTTGGCTCTCTCCCGAGGTTCGATCATGTTTCTCTTCTGGAAGCTCTGGAAACGGTCGCGGAGAATGTTGCCTTCAGGCTGCGGGACACAGAGAGGGAGGCCTCAGTTGTGTGTGTGTGGGGGGGGGGGCTCTGACCTCTCCACGGGGCCCAGCCTGGCCCTGATCTGGTGGGGTGATGTGTGTGGACCCCGGGCCACCTGGGCTAGGTTTGCAGAATCTATAGGATGGAGGCTGCTGAAGAAGCGGAGAGCATGCAGGGCAAGAGGGGCACCAAAGGCCGGGGGTCAGACCAACAGGGCGCACGGCTGGCCCACTGATGAAGTAGAGTTGACTGGAGCCCCAAGGCAGGCACAGGGCCCACGGCCGCGGCGAGGAGCCCGGGGCCACTGGGAGCCATGGCAGGTTCTGAGCGGGGATGGGACAGGGCCCATGCTGAGCTGTAGGGAGACCTGTCCAGCACCGCAGGGCCAGGACACCAGCTTCGGGATGTGGCTGGGAGGAAAGCGTCTGCAGGTCACAGGCTCAAATCATCATGCCAGCAGGCCCCTCACCCCCAAGGACCCCGTGCCCTCAGCCCCCAGGCATCAGGCCAACCGGCCCAACCTGGGGCAGCCAGGATGTCGCCCACAGCCCCTGAGGGCACGGGGAGCAAGGATGGGTATCATCACTGGGCACGGGGGTCTCCCCAAAGCACAACACCCCAGATGGGCAAGTACCTTTAGGGTCCTGAGTGAGTCAGATAGCTCCGAGCTGAGCTGCACGTCGATGTCGGGGGCCTGGTACCTAGAGAACACGGGCGTGGGGTGTTCGGGGGCTCGGCCTTGCCCAGGGCAGAGTTCAAAGGCCCCACCCGGGCAGCAGGCCTTCCAGAACATGGGGCTCTGTGGGGAAGAGATGATCTTCCAGGAGGAGACCAGGCAGAGAACCGGGACACCTGGCCCCCCCCCGCCCCCCCAGGAGCCCCCCGCCGGGCCTCACTTGAGCCGCCCCAGCCTCCGGGGCCTGTCCGCCTCCGCCAGCCGCCGTGCCCGCCGCTGCTCCCGCCGCCGCGCCAGCTCCGCCAGCCGCCGCGCCACCTGGGCCTTGATCCCGCGTAGCCTGAAGAGCTCCTGGTGCCGGAGCCGCGCGGCCCGCACCTCGGCCTGCTGCACCCGCTGCAGCAGGGCCGGGCGGAGTCAGGGGCCGGGCAGAGCGCCGTCCCCCCTCCACTGAGGCCCCTCCAGCGCCCCCTCCCCCGACTTCTTCACAGCCGTTTCCTGAAACCAGCGTCCTTACCCACTGGTGGCCTGCAAATCCCACTCCCCAAAGATTAACGACCAGGGCACAGAGACTCGGTCTAGAACACTCCCTGCTGCATCCTGAGCCCAAGTGCTGCCAGCGCAGCAGGGGCAGGCCGGAGCCCGCGGTGCTCACCATCTTCTGGGCGGCCTTCTCCCGCCGCCGCTGCTGCTCTGTCTTCTTCTCCACGGCGGCGGCCAGGCGTACGGGTGCAGGGGACGCCTCCCCGCCTGCGGCCTGCTCCCCTCCAGCCTCGGGGCCCTTGTCCGGGCCCTCGCCCGGCTCCCCCTCCCCGTCCGACTCCTCCAGCAGCCCCTGGCACAGCTCCTGGAAGGCAGACTCCTGGGGCGGGAGGGAAGCGGTGAGTCGGGGCCGTGCGGGCGGCCGGGCAGGGAGGGGTGGGCAGGTGTGAGCTTACCTGGGTGGCAGGCTGCTCTGAGGGGGGCAGGGCCAGCTGCCGCTCCAGCTTCTCCGCGTCCTTCTGCCGCTGCAGCTCGACCTCGTGGGCTGCCAGCAGCAGGGTCTAGGTGGGGAAGGGGGTCGGGGGTGAGGCCCCAGGCCCCCCAGGCCTCTCCTGGGACTTACAGACCTGGCCCCACCCCTGCACCCAAGGCCCCTCTCCACCCCCCGCACAGCCAGGGGGCGCTCTCTACTCCCAAGCCTCCTGTCTGCTCTGTCCTCTCTCTTAGAGGACCGCCTAATCCCTGATCTCTGCACGCAGTCCGGTTTTGCTCACGCGAAACACAGAACAAGTAAATCTGTAAAGACAGGAATGACAGTGGGGGCTGCCTAGGGAAGATGGGGCATGGGGGGGGGGGGGTGGTGATGGCCGATGGGCGCCACGTTTCTTTCTGGGGGATGAAAACATTCTAAAGTACTGGTGAGGGCCACACAACTCTGCGGATACGCTAAAAACCAGTAAATTGTGTGCAGTAAGTGGGCGAACCCTCAGGCATGGGAATCCTATCTCTGTAATACAGTTCTGTGAAGGACAAAAGACACGGACTGATCTTTCCACGTTGTCCCCCAGCAGCCACGTGAGTCCACGGGGGAACGGACTACGGTTCGTGGTCTCCTCTGCTTGTGACCAGCCTCATCCTGCTCCCGTTCAGGGTCACGGGGTCTGTTTCTGCGGACACCTTTTATCGGAGCAGAAAACTGCTCGCTCTGCTCCTGGTCGGCTAAGAGGCCCTCTTACCACGAATGAGGCTGAACGGCACTCGCTCGAGCGTCCTGCGTCTCCTCAATGATCTCAATCTCTCTCTGGGGACCTGTGCTCCCCGGGGGCAAAGGGTCTGTCTCCTCTGTTCATGACATCCATCGCCAAAATACACAGTGACTCTCACAGCCAGGTGTCCCACTGCTGACCCAACCTAGGCCTGAGATAAATCTTACCCGCTCAGACTGCTAATATTTCTTTGAAGCCTTTTGCATGTAAGTCCCGTGGACTCCCCGAAAGGTGGCGTGGTCTCATACACCCCCGGGCCTTCGTACATGCTGTTCCTTGCACACGCCTGAAACACCCATTCCCCTCTTCCCACAGCAAGCTCCTCCTCACATCTCTGGTCTAAACTCTGATATTGCCTTCCTCCAGAAGCCCTCCCTGACCCCCAAGGCTGGGTTTGGCGACTCCTCTGGGTTCCTTCATCCCAGGCCTCTGGGTCATCACTGTCTGGGAACAGGTCTGTCTCCCCCGCTGGACCATGAGCCCCAGGAGGGCAAGCGGGGGGCTGCCTCAGTTGCTGCTGACTCCCCAGCAGTGGGTGGATACAGAGGAGGTACCCGGTGAGGCCAATCCAACCAAGCAGCCAGGCCCCAACTGAGGAGAGACCGCGTACCTGGTGGTCCTCAAAGGATGGGTTGTAGGAGGCTCCGGCCGGTGTCACCTCCACGGCAGGGACCTGGGAGGGCTTGGTGTGCAGATGTGGTGGCCGCTGGAGGAGGACAAGGCAGCATGAAGCCTGGCAGCCCCACGACTCGAGACCTCACAAGCTTGGGTGCTGGGATTCCAGGCGTGGAAGGCGGCAGAGGCCTCGGCAGGGCCCACGGCCTTCAAACTGGGAGGTACCTGTGGGTCTGGCGTCTAGAACAATGGACACCTGCTACCCAGCTGCTGTGCTACCCACGGGAGCCACATCCCCAGGAGAAGCAAGCTCCCTGCAGGGAGAGGTCCTGCCTGCCTTTCCTGAGAAAAGTCCCCGTGACCCTGTGGTGGGCAACATCGGCAAAAACAGGGGTACAGGGCACCTTGATTTTAGTCCCCAGTCTGTCACCCTGACACCTGCAGCAGGCTTGGGAGAGGGTGGGGGTGTTCTCTGTCATTCAGAGCAGATGACAGCGGATAGAGGGCTGGCAAAGACTCTTAGCATGGCCCCGGGCCCTGCCGGGAGCTGGTGACAAATGCAGAAACCCAGGTCCACAAGGAATGAATCTGAATCCGATCAGGACCTGCACCTCAACAAGACTAAGGCAGGGGCAGGGGGGGTGGGGTGGTGGTGGCTTCCCAACTGGCCTCTGCCTCAGCAAAGGCCCTCAGTCCCCAGCAGAAGCCTGGGGGTAACCCTGGAAGCCCCCTGCCCCCACCTGCTCCCCACCCCCGACTGCCCGCCAGTCCCAGTGGTTCTGCCCAAGGGCGCCATCTTGGGTCCCCCCCACCCCCACGATCCCGCCTCTGCAGAGCTGCCACCTGGACCCCATCACTCTCCTATGCAAAACCACTCAAAGGAACACTCCATACCCTGAGTGGCGCTCCCTCCCACCAGGCCAGCGTCCTCCGGACCTCCTACTAAGCCCTGTCCCTGAGCGCTCGAGTTCCCTGCCTGGAGGCCCTTCCCTCCCGTCCAGGTCCAGGCCTCTTCCCAGTGAAGCTTTGCTTGCCCCCTGAAGCACCTCCCGCTGACTGCCACCACCCGGCTCTCTCCTCCGGAGGCACTAGCTCGAGGCCCAGCTCCTGCACGTGTGGTCTTGGCCACAGGCTGAGACCGAGGCTCCAGGGCCCCAGTGTAGCTCCCACCACCCCAGCCCTCCTCCGACCCATCACCAAGGGCACCCTGCTGCCACAGTCTCACCTTCACCCCTTTCTTCTTGGTCTGCTCCAGGAAAAAGGTGTCCTGGCCAGCCAGGGGTCGCTCCAGAGGGTCTGTGGAGGCAGTGAAGGGTGGTTGCTGGGGCTTGCCAGTGTGGCCTGAAGGGCTCCCTCCCATCCCTCCCCGCATAAAGACAGCACCGAAACATGGGTAAGGGAAGGACTGACTCTCAGATCCCGACGGGTTTTGAATGCCAAGCAAAAGAGCATATGGACAGGTCCAGAAAGCAGAAGGGAGCCAAGGCTAAGGGGCAGGGGGCGGCCCTCAGGAAAATGCACTCGGGAAAGGGGAGCCCCTCCAAGACGTTGAACTCTGCTGAGGGTCATCGAATCAGCACCTGCAGAGTACCTCCCTTAGACATTGTGCTCTTGTGCAATGCACAACCTGCACAACCGTGCATGGCAGCCTTGTCCCCACCCACAAGTAACAACAGAGGCACTCACTGTCTTTGGCCCAGAGATCATAAAAAGGCTGCTTAACGGTGTCTTGGGGCCCAGGCTTGGCTTTGGTCGCGGGAGGGTTGAGGAGCCGGGCCTGTGCCCTGCGCACCTCCCGGGGCAGCTCGCCCTGCTTGGCCAGCTTCTCCCATAGCTGCTCCTTCCGTTTGAGTTTCCTGGCATTGGGGACCTGGTGGGCGAGGACGCTGGGTGGAGGAGAAGCAGCACAGGTGGAGTGAAGCAGAGGCCTGAGAAAGGGCCCAGCTCCTCCCAGTCAGGCTCTGCACCCCCACTACTCGGCAGCTCCTCCTGCCTCTCCTACCCAGCTTCAGAGCCCATCTCCTGACCCGAGAGCCAACAACACGGCGGCCTCGGCAGCCCTCGCCCTGTGGATCTCCCAGAAACCTCACATATCACTTCAAAACCAACCTCAGGTTCGCCCCCACAACCGTTCCTCCCATATTCCCATCTCAGGAGCCGCCCTCTATCCACCCCATCACCCATCCAACCTCTCTTCCTTCAGAGCTGTCACTCAGCCAGCCTGATGGGCCTCCTGATGGCTCCCGGCCATCCCTCCTCTCCATCCCCAGAGCTCCCGGGTGGGCTGAGGCCCCGCACTTGCCTGCCTCAGCCACAACACCCCGGCCCCCACCTCACTTCCTCCGATCTACCCCCCAAAGCCCTATCCCTCTCCTCCAAGTGATGCTCACCTGACCCCCTCCCTCCCTAGGAACTCCCTTAGGGCCAGAAGTGAGTGGCATCGCTGCACAGAAGGGCACGATGCCAGAGCCCAGCAGGGAAGACGGGTCTCGGGATGGGGGGACACTCACTCTTTGGGGGCAGGGACCTTGGATGTGTTCTCTAGGATGAGGTCAACACGAAGGGGTTTCTTGAGAAGAAGTGACCTTTTCTGGCTTTTGGTCCTCTTCTTGTTTAGTTCTGGGGTTGGGAGAAAGGAGCGCAATCAAGGGCTCGGGCCTCCTTGCTTCCCAAGACCAACTCCCCACCCCCTGCATTTCAGCTCCACGGCAGCCATCAGACCCGCATCCTGGTGCAGACACGGAGGCCCCAGGCTTCCACCTGGGGAAAGAGGTGCCCAAGGTGTCCAAGCTCTGCCCAGCCCCCCAACACACCCATTTCCTGGGCCACCTGGAGGCAGCCCTGTGCTGGGAACAAAGAGAGGGTCAGACCCACAGCCCTGCCCTCTAAGGACTCCCGGACACGGCAGGAAAACCAGGAATGCTAAAGAGAAAGAAGGCGACCAAGTGACACTGAGGCCCAGGGAGCTGGACTCAGGACCCAAAACGGCTGATTCTCAGCACAACGGTTTTCCACCTGATAGCAAAAAGCAAACTCCACGACCAAACACACTAGGACAGAACCCACGTCCTCTCGTTTCCTAGGCTACATCATAGAAGACTTTACTCCTCTGTGCTTCCAAAATGAGAACCTTCATGCCTAACTCACGGGGTTGTCTGGAAAAGTAAGGACCACGACAGCATGAGGCACCGTGATCACCTGGGAAAGCCCACAATCCCTATTATCTTTCTTTTTCTTTTCTTCTCTGTGTCCCCAGGACCTGAAACTAGGAGCCACGAGTCGGTCAGTCACGTGCCACTGGAGCTGCTGTCCCACCAGAACGGAGCCCGCAAGCCACAGCCAGACCAAAAGACCATGAAGAGTGCCTGTATCTTTCCTTTTTAAGCCAAAAGCAGAATCTATAAACTGCCTCTTCTCTGTTCCCAAACAGACTTCATACTGGCCAAAGCAGGCCTTCGTGACTACCCTACCTGTTCACCAGGGCGGGTCCTGCCTTCCCCTTGCTGTTACACACCCGATCGGCTCACTCCTGTGAAAGGTGACCTCTTTAATAATCATCTCTCACTCGCTTGCTCAAAGTCTCCTGCACCTCAAAGCAGGTCCCTTTCCGGCTCACTGAAACAGGCCCTCTCACGTTCCAGACCCATGGACCGAACCCACACATGCTCCCTAAGGGCATCCTGCTGTTAAAGCCCCTTGCCATTTGCTCATTAAAGCAGACCTTTAGCTTGTTTTCTATCCCCTCATTAAAGCGATGGTCTATTTTTGGTCTGTTTTTCTACCTAATGATGGAAAGCCTATCATTCGCTCAAGCCACCCCTAACTCCCCTCTCCTGTACTCTGTTTCAGCAGCACCCCCCCACCCCCGCCACCCCGGCTTTTTGGCAAATAAAAGCAAGCAGATTAAGACGAGCTTCTTACCTACTTACCTAATACCTACTCGTTAAAGCAGATCCTCTTATTCTTATTCAAGCACATCTTACTAAAACAGGTCTCGTCCCTTACAGCTTTTCTGCAAGTTAAGCAGAGACCTGCTAATTTACATCTAATCTACTCAGAGGCAAGACCCCTGCTGGCTTCTCTGTGCCAGATGGAGACTTGGGAATTGCCAGATTGAAGACTGAGAGCTGGGAAACCTCAAAAAGAAAACCTGATTTGTTAGTCTTTCCTTCCAAGCCCTCTTATTTATAGTAAAGACCTTTTCCAACCTATGCCTGCCATCCAAGCCAAGTCAATAATAAAGACTCTCTCGGAGACTGAGATGGACTAAATAAGGACCAAGCAGGCACCACCGAAAGCTCTTCCTCACCTTTTTTCTTGGAGCCGGTATCCACGAAGAAGAGTTTCTCATCTGGGGCCTCTGATACCAAGCCACTGGGAGACAGAAATGCAGGTCAGCCGGAGACGTTGGGGAGGGTGCAAGCTGCTGGGGAGGGAGGTTTAACCTCTCAGGGGCCAGGCTTTCCTCTAGTACTACGCTCATTCAAGCGCCTTCTGTCCGCCACGGGATCCCTCCACGCTAAAGCTTCTCCCTTCAAATCACAGAACTTAGTACTTAACAGATCATAATGCTCAAAATATCGTACTATTTAATCCTCAGCGCTACGCTAAGGCGGGTGCACGGGCACACTTACACTACAAGTATTACTTTCTTCCCTAAATTCTAATTTAACACTGGGAGTTCTGTATCTGCTGACCCAACCCAAGCCCCAACCCTCACCCGAGTCCAGCGGTGGCCGGAACACCCACGCGCAGCCCCCCGGGAAGTCCCCCCAAGCGCGCTCGGCCTCGCACCCCGCCTCTCCGAACGAGGCCCGGCTCCCGGAAGTCCCGCCCCACGCACCCGCTCGTGCGCTCCTGCAGCCGCACGTCCTCCAGGAACTGGTCAACTTCCAGCCCCAGCGGCTCCTCTGCGAGCCGCCGCCAGCCCCGTTTCTTATTTCTTGGGCCTCGCCGCCGCCGCCTCAGCGCCGGGTCCACCGAAGTGGGCCGCAGTCCCAGGAAGCCGGAATCGGCCTCGCTTTTCGAGCAGTGCGTGCCGCCGCCGTCACTGCCTCCCGGCGCCATCTTGGCAAAGGAAGCCTCGGATCGCCGGCGCCCCGAAAGCCGGTTTGGGGCCTGCGCGCGCAGATCTCCCGCCCCCTCCAGTGACCTACTTCCGGTTACCGCCATCTTGGTAAAGTGTCTGGAACCGCCAAGGGGCGGGGATAAAGGGTAAATGTCTCCTCCCTCTTATGCCAAGTCCCGTCGGCCGCGAGTCGCGGGTTCGCGGCTCTAGCCCTAAGCAAACAGCTTTACTGCGGCTCAGGAGTATTTTTAAAATCTGCGTATGGGGTGCTTGGGTGGCTCAGTTGGTTAAGCGACTGCCTTCGGCTCAGGTCATGATCCCAGGGTCCTGGGATCGAGCCCCACTTGGGGCTCCCGGCTCCGCGGGAAGCCTGCTTCTCCCTCTCCCACTCCCCCTGCTTGTGTTCCCTCTCTCGCTGTGTCTCTCTCTGTCAAATAAATAAATAAAATCTTTTTTAAAAATAAAAATAAATAAATAAATAAAATAAAATCTGCGTATGTTTTTAATCTGTAACTTACTGATTATTATTTTTAGTCCAGCTGTCTTAAAAAAGAAAATCAGAACCGTCGGTGGGAGATTCGGCAGAAGACACGCTCCAGTCTCAGAACGTTTGGCTTCTCAGTGTTCCGATCCTAGAATCTTGGAAATCCAAGAGATTTCCGAATGTCGAGTTGGGAGCACAGAACCTCATATATGCGAGGAGTGTTATAAACAGTGTTGGCAGTGTAGGCTCGGAATCAATCCTGGGCAAACTGCTTCGCTGTGCCTCACTTTCCTCATCTGTGAAACAGGGACGATTATGGTACATCAGCCTTATAAATTATTCAGGAGAGGAAACGAGATAAACGCGCGGCGTTTAAGATTGTGCGTGGGGGATGCCTGAGTGGCTCAGTAGGTTAAGCGTCTGCCTTGGGCTGGGATCATGATCGCGGGGTCCTGGGATCAAGCCCCCAGTCGGGCTCTCCGCTCAGCGGGGAGTCTGCTTCTCCCTCTCCCTCTGTGCTTTCTCTCTCTCTGAAATAAATATAAATAAATCAATCTTAAAAAAAAAAAAAGATTGTGCCTGGTATATCTCAATGTTAGCTATTGTTACTGGCTCGGCCCCTGAGGTTTCGTCTTAGAATCAACTAATCTTTGCTGTTTACAAATAAGGAAGGAAGCTCGGAGGCCCTTGGGCGCTGGCAACCATTCACAGGCATCCAGGGCTGCCTACAGGCCGCTCTGGACGCGAAAGGGAAGAAGGCACAGAGAGGGAGGGCGCCACGCCGGTGGTCGCACAGCGGAACCCAGCGGGATCCTCGCGACCCGCCCTGGAGCCCCGAGCGCGGACCGCCTGGCTCCGGGGTTTCCGCGCGCAGCCCCCGAGTGCCCGCCAGGGGGCGCTGGGAGCCGCGAAAGCGGGAGAGCGCGCGTGGGCGGGAAGCGCGAGCGGTCAGCGTGTCCCGGCCGCGGTGGGTGTGGTCGGGGGGCTCAGCGCGCGGGGTCCGCAGGCCGAGGCCCTCGGGCGTGAGCGCGCGCGCGTGCGCACACAGGGTGGTCCCTGTGGGCAGCGTCACCTCCCCTCCAAGAGCCCGTTTGGCCCTGGTGTTACGTGTCAGGGGTGGCGTCCCAGGTGGCGCACGCTGGGGGGCGGGGCGGAGACACGATGTGCCCGAGTCGCGCGCACACAGCCCCACGCCCCAGGGCTTGGTTCCCAGGCCCCCGCGGCGGGAGGTGGGAGGGAGGGATGTCCCGGAGGGAGGGCCCCTGAGTAACTTTTCTTCGGAAAATATGTCCGTCTGGCCCCCAGCCCAGGCCTGAGTCATCAGGCTCTGCGGCATTGAGTCATGGCCTCCACCCCCCGCCCTTGGGACCTTGGAGGGGACCCCCCCCCCAAACCTCAAGCCCTGCCCAGCACTCTTCTTCCCCGGGAGTCTGGGGAGAGCCATCCCCGCCCCCCCAACCCATCCCAAGACAGCCTGACTTCCACGTGGTTAGAAGCCTTGGCTTTATTTGCTCTGTGGGAACGCTGTTCGCTGTTCGCTGTTCGGTTCACAGGCCCCTCCTAGGCATGGGGGGTGGTGATGGTGGGTGTGGAAATCCCCACGAGCATCGTGGGGGGGCGTCGTCCCCACCTATGTCACCCTTCCCCATCTTTTCCATGGGGTCCCCCACCAGGGTCAAGCACTAGTAAGTGGTGAAGGCACCGAAGGGTGGAAGGCCGGATGTGAGGGGTCCCTTTAGGGAGGAGAAGGGAGAGCTATAGCACCAAGAGCCCCCCACCCCCCAACGCATCCCTGAAAGGGGGACTAAAATAAAGCCCTGGGGCCTTTATATCTGGTAGGGGCTCTACTTAAATATGGGCTGATGGCAGAGAGGCTGTGCCCCTGTGGTCTACAATTCAGGCCACCAGCTGTGGGGAGCTTAGGGACGGGGGCAGCCAGGCTGGGTTTTCAAACCAGGGCCCGTGGGCCAAAGCCAAAAATACCTCAAAGTGGGCACAGTCTGGGCGAAGCAAGGAGAGAAGGGGCTTTTCTGTCTGCTAAGAATCCTTAGTACAGAAAGGGGTGTAACCAGAACTGGGCAGAGGGGCTGAAGAGGGGTCCCTCTGAGGAAGTAGGAGGTTGTGTCTCCCCTCTGAGCCCCCACTGGTCCCAAGGCCTGAGAACACGATGGAGTTTGGGGGGACAGGCGGTCCTTGCCTGGATGGGCAAGAAGTGGGGAAGGGGGCCTTTGTGTTTGTTATTTCCAACAAGGGGCCACTGGACTATGGGGAGAGGCGAGGGGTCCTGCCCAGAATTGGGGATCGGGCTGGTTAGGACCTGTGTCCGTGTGTGTTTGTGTGACTGTGTGGGTGCTCCCTCCTGAGAACGTCAGCCCCCTGAGGGCAGATACACGTGTCTGTTTTGCTCTCTGCTCCACTCCCCCGTGCCCAGAACAAGCCCTGCACATCCAAACATAGTACGTGCTCAATAAATACTTGAATGAACGATGACTGAATCGATGCCTCTGTGCATGTGTGTGTTAATGTCAACGGGATGTGCCTAAGTGTGTGTGAGGGTAGAGATGCAAAGGCCGGGTAGAGAAGCCTTGCCCCTCCCCTGGTCCCCACTGTCTGGCAGAGGGGAGTAGAGAGACCCCCATCCTTACAGCTGAGAAGGTGGGCAGGCAGCGTGCATGCAGGCTGGGGCGGGGGTGTGTGTGCAGCCAGCTGGTGCTGGGGAGCCACAGCAGGGCAAGAGGGAGGGAGGGCCGGCAGGCAGTGGCTGGCTCACTCTGCAGAGCCCTTGTGGCGCCGCTTGGAGGGCGGCACCAGGCGGCGGGGCAGGTTGGTGGGCAGCCCGTGGCCCTCGAGCTTGGCCTCGATGAGGTGGCTGGCCAGGGCGAACTCCTCGTCATCCAGCATGCCGTCCCGGTCGACGTCACTCAGCTTCCAGATGCGCCCCAGCACCGAGTTGGGGAGCTTGGTGCCCACCATCCAGGTCTTGGCCTTGGTGCCGCTCAGCTTGCCATCGGCGGGCGCCAGGTTGTAGAAGATCTCGTCGTACTTGGACTTGTCCTTGGTCACCACCCACTCGGCCTCGTCGTCTGAGCCCTCCTCGCCGTTCTCCAGGGCCTCATCGGGCCCCCGCTCCACGAATGGGCCCATGTGGGTGCCCTCGAAAGCGCCACCCTGCACGCCCACCTCGGTGCTCTCCAGCTCTTCCTGCCGCAGCAGGGGCATGAGCTTGGCGATGTCGTGGGTCAGCATCTCGTCCAGGGCCTCCAGCAGCTTCGGCTTCAGCGAGTGGAATTTGGTGAAGTCGTGAGCCATCAGCAGCTCCTGTTGTGGGGTGAGGGGGAGAGGGGAGCACTAGGAAGTCAGGGGGCACCGTCCTCAAGGCCCCCCAGCCCCGTGGGGGCAGCGGGACCCTCGGGCAGCTCACTTGGTAGCAGGTCCCGGCTGAGAGGTGTGTGCCTGTGCAACCCATTTCACTCGGGCACCCACCACTCAGAAGAGACTAGGACAGCGGGGTCCCAGGGGCCCTCCCCCTGCGCCAGGCGTGTCCCCAAGATCACTGGACGGTAGGGACGTAAGTGGCCCTGTGAGGACTTAGACCAGTAGCTGTTTACCAGCCGGCAGAGGATTTCAGTATTCCGACAGCGCTCCCAGCCTTACCCAGCACAGCCCTGGCTCTGCCCAGCCTCTGGGGTGCCCCAGCTGCAGCTGGCCGGCACCCCATCCCAGTTGTGCAAACCGAAAAAATTCCATTCCTGCTGCTCCATTAGCTCTGTCACCCCACTTCACAGCAACGGGTGAGTGGCTTGCTGCCAAGTTTGGAGGTTAGGTTTGGGATGGCCAGATTATTAGGAGCTCCTGGGACAACCCTCCCCCTGCCCCCCTCCCTCCAGAAGTCCTCTTGTGCTAGAGCAGCTGTGGGGCTGGATTTGTGGTCACGCTGCTTCTCTCCAGCGGCTGCTCTGAGTCGCTCTGAGTCGCCCGCACCAGGAGACTCACAGCAAAGACCGATCCGGTTCATGGCACCACACTGAGGCAGAGAGGCCCGCTGATCTGGACATAAAGGGGTGCGGGGGTCTGGACTCCAGGGCCAGCCTGCCCAGGTCCCAGTCCAGTTCTGCCACTTAGGAGCTGTGTGCCCTCAAGCAAGTGACTTCACCTCTCTGGGCCTCAGTTTCCACACGTGTAAAACAGATCAATAACATTCGCGCTCCCCTCCCTTGGGGGGATGGGAAAGGCTAATGAATTCATCGGGATAGTGTTCCAGAACTGTCAGTGTAATCCTACCAGCTGCTGTTTATCTAGCCCAGTGGTTCTCAGCCACGGGAGATGTTGTCCTTCCCCAGTGGACACTTGGCAAGATCTAGAGCCATTTTTGATTGTCACAGCTGGGAGGGGGGGTGCTACAGGTACCTAGAGGTCAGGAGGATGCAAAGATCCCGCAATGCACAGGACACCCCTGACCACGAGTGCTCTGACCCCAAATGTCAGTAGCGCTGAGGTTGAGAATCTTGATCTAGCCCCAGCTCTGTGCCACACGCTGATCTTAGGGGGCTGCAAGCGCTGGCGGATTCAGCACCCACAGCAATAGGTAAGTACTACGACGATGCCCATTTCCCAGTTGAAGAAACTGAGGCTCAGGCAAGGTGACTCGTCCAGACTCAAGAAGCTAGTAAGTGGCCGAAGTGAAATGCAGTCTACCAGAATTCCTCAGAGTCTTGGGTTAGAAACCATCTCAGACCCAAAGGTCACAGGCTTGGAGTATCAGCCTAACGTAGTCTCAAAACAGAGGCTCAACGCCGGGCTGGGGGGCTAGTCCCCGCCTCCTCCACACCTGGTTAATCCTAGACCTGGACATGCAAGGGGTCCCCCCATTCCCATTTGTCCCTTCATCCTCAGCACT